TTCAGTAGTAGGGTAACATTAGCCCTACATAAATGGCTAATCTTATCCTTCCAAACAGTCCCTAAGTAACTTAAAAGCATCTCAGAACAAAGCTAAAGAATATCAATAGGATATTCAGAACCAAAAACATTCAGAACCAAACAAAGGTAAAATTCACAAGTTATATTTTATATGCTTGAATTACATTTACATTTTAACATGTAAAATAGAGACATGGAGGGTACAAAAATGACTTAAATTGAACTCATAGATTTGCAAAACACCTTAGATCTTTTTAAAAAAGATACACTGGATAAGATGAACAGATTAGATTCTACAGAAGAAAATATTAATAAACTCAGATATAGCAATAGAACTATCCAACGTGAAACAAAGAAAGTTGAAAAAATGAACACAGCATCAGTCAGTGAGCGGTGGGACTCCAAGTGGCAATATAAATGTAATTGAAGACTATAAAGTGTCGAAGAGAAAGAAAACGTATTTGAAGAAATAATGCTTGGAAATTTTCCAAATTTAAAAGAAACTCAAAATACACAGGCCCAAGAAGCTCAAGGAAACAGAAGCACATAAAACAAAAATAAAACAACACCAAGGCACATCATAATCAAAATGGATTAAAACCAGTGAATGAAGAGAAAATCTTGAAAGCCACAAGAGAAAGTCTGCATTCTGTATATTGGAACAATGATCAGAATGATAGCAGGCATCTTGATGGAAACAAAGTAAACCAAAGGACAGTGGAGCCACATTTTTAAAGCACTGGGACAAAAAAAAAAAAAAAGTCAACATAGAAGTCTATATCCAGCAAAAATATCTTTAAAATATTAAGTTGAAATAAAATTCAGCATGCAAAAGGTGAAAGATTCCACCACTGACAGGCCTGAACTATTAGAAATGTTAAAGGATGTCTTCAGTCACAATGAAAATAGTACCAAGTAGAAATATGAGGACTTCCCTGGTGGTACAGTGGTTAAGAATCCACCTGCCAATGCAGGGTACACGGGTTCAATCCCTGATCCAGGAAGATCCCACATGTCGCAGAGCAACTAAGCCCACAGGCCACAACTACTGAGCCCGCGTGCTGCAACTACTGAAGCCCACACACGCAGAGCCTGTGCTCCACAAGAGAAACCACCACGATGAAAAGCCCGGGCACCGGAACAAAGAGTAGCCCCCGCTCACCACAACTAGACAAAGCCCACGTGCAGCAATAAAGACCCAATGCAGCCAAAAAATAAATATGAATATACCCAAAGGAATGAAAAGCACCATAAATTGTAAATCTGTGGGGAAACAGAAGAGACTTTTTTCTTCTTCTTTAAAATCTCTTTAAAATGGACTGTTTAAAGAAAAAAAAATTACACCATATTATGGACATTTTGACACGTTTTAAGTAAAATGCATGACAAAAACAGCACAAACCTGAGAGTGGGAAAATGAAAGAATATTATTGCAAAGTTCTTACACTATACATGAAATGGTATACTAACTTACACGTACACTGTGATAAATGAAAATACACACATAGAGTAAACCCTAAAGCCACTCAAAACTTAAAGAATTATAGCTAATAAGCCAACAGAGATGATGAAATGGAATAATCAGTACTGAGTCCAAAAGAAGGCAGATCAAGAGGAAAATACAAACAAAAACAGAGGAGATAAATGGAGGATAAACAGCAAGATGACAGATTTAAACCCAATGAAATCCATAACCACATTCAATGTAACTGGTCTAAACACTCCAACTAAAGCAGAGGTCGTCAGACTGGATTTTAAAAAAGCAAGACTAAACTACAAGAGGCCCACAAGAAGTACCCTTTAAATATAAAAAGTGAAAGGATGAAGGAAGATAACACCATGCTAATGGTTTTTTTTTTTTTTAATTTTTAAACTAGACTGCTAGCATTAAGAAAAATATTTCAAAGCAAAGAATATTACCAGGAATAAAAAGAGTAATATTAATAATGATAAAAAGGTCAATATGAGAACATAACAACCCCATTTATGAGCCTAATAACAGCTTCAAAACACATATGAGCCAGATAGAACTGAAATGAGAAATAAATCCACAATCTAGTTGGGGATTCCAAGACCTCTTACTAATTAATTGACAGATAATGAGTGATGACAGGCAATGGCAGACAGAAAATCAGTAAGAATATAGAAGACTTGGGCTTCCCTGGTGGCGCAGTGGTTGAGAGTCCGCCTGCCGATGCAGGGGACACGGGTTCGTGCCCCGGTCCGGGAAGATCCCACATGCCACGGAGCGGCTGGGTCCGTGAGCCATGGCCGCTGAGCCTGTGCGTCCGGAGCCTGTGCTCCACAACGGGAGAGGCCACAACAGTGAGAGGCCTGTGTACCGCAAAAAAAAAAAAAAAAAAAGAATATAGAAGACTTGAACACCCCCATCAACAAACATGACCTAACTGGCATTATAGATTTTCAGCAAACAACTGCCAGAAGATACATTCTTCTCAAGTGCACATGGAACATTTATGAAGCTGTATCATTTGTGGGCCAAAAAGCAAGTTTTAGACAATTTAAAAGGAATCAAACCGTAAGAACTATTTCCTAACCACAATGGAATTAAGTTAGAAATCAGTAACAAAGATCTTGGAAATTCCCAAATATTTGGATACCAAGTAACACACATTTAAAACAACCTGTGGATCAAAGACAATGCCAAATGGAAAATCATGAAGTGTCTTGAACTGAATGAAAATGAAGACACAACGTATCAAAATTTGTTGGAATGCAGCAAAAGCAATGCTTAGAGGGAAATTTATAGCACTAAAATACCTCTATTAGGGAAGGTTTCTCAATATCTTGTAATAACCTAAATGGAAAAGAATCTAAAAAAGATATGTTTATATATATAAAATGAATCACTCTGATGTATGTCTGAAACTAGTGCATTGTAAATTAACTGTACTTCAATTTTTAAATGGTTAAAAAAAAAAGGTCTCAAGTCAGTGATGCCAGCTCACACTTTAAACTAAGAAGAAGAAAAAAAGAAGAGCAAACTAGTGGAAATAAGCAGAAGAAAGAAATAATGAGTAGAAATCAGTGAAATAAAAAGCAGAAAAAAAGAAAATCTGATGAAAACAAAATCTGATTACTGGAGAAAATAAAGCTGATATATCTCTAGCCTAACTCATCAGGATAAAAAGAGAAAGACGTTAAATAACAATATTAGGAATGAGAGAGGCTATCACTATAGATCTCATATATATCAAAATAAGAGAATGTCATAAACAACTTTATGCTGACAAATTCAACAACTTAGATAAAACGGACACATTCCTTAGAAGACAAAGAACACCAAAACTCACTCAAGAATAGCCCTAAATCTATTTTTAATGTTGAATTTGTATCGTGAAAAGGAAATTCCAGGCTCAGGTTGGTTTTCCTGGGGAATTCTACCTAATATTTATGAAAGAAACAGTGAACATGACACAAATTTCTTCAGAAAATTCAAGAGGGAACAACGTCCAACTCAATTCTCTCAGGCCAGCATGACCTGTATCTAAAACAAGAAAGACATTCCAAAATTACAGACCAATTGAAAGGAATTTAATCAAGTAACAAATTTATGTTGAATAGAATTTGGAAAAAGGCCTGAAGTGAAAAGATGTCAGTTCTGGTGAAAAACAGTAAGGAGCAGAGGCATAGACCTGGTATTGGAAATTGAATGTTTTGTTTGGAACAGGATAAATGGTGCTGGTAAGATATCCAGTAATGTAATAGCTAATAATCAGTGAGTTCTTTGTGTTAGGTGCTACACTAATCAGAAGGACTGGAGCTCAGTAGAAGGAAAAACAGTACTAGAAGCCATGCCTGTGTAACTGATTCCATTTACCACCTCTGATTTTCATACTGTGGCTATTACTACATACTTTTTTTTTTTTGCAGTACGCGGGCCTCTCACTGTTGTGGCCTCTCCCGTTGCAGAGCACAGGCTCCGGACGCGCAGGCTCAGCGGCCACGGCTCACAGGCCCAGCCGCTCCGCGGCATGTGGGATCTTCCCGGACCGGGGCACGAACCCGCGTCCCCTGCATTGGCAGGCGGACTCAACCACTGCGCCACCAGGGAAGCCCCAGAGTGACATACTTTTTAAGAGACTTTATTTTTCAGTGAATCTTATTTTTCCCAAGGTAAGAAAATCATCATTATAAAAACTAAATGTACTCTAATTATACTCCTTAATTACTATTTAGAAATCATTCATAACAAAAATAATACAACATAAGAGACATTGTCTGGAAGTCTACTGTCAAATGTGGCTGCTACTCCAATCTGGCATTCCTTTAGGAAGTCCTATGGAGGTCACATCTGGAGAAGTTCAAACTCATTATTGGCAAGGATCTCTCCTCTCTCACCCCCAACTCATCCTCACCCCATGTAGTTCAACACATCTGGAAACCAAAATGGCTCATAGTTTAACCACAGAAGGCAGCTAAAACAGAGGGCCTACACAGAGAAATCAGTGACAGCCTCACCATCTCTGCACCAGCTAAACCACCAGGTCATAACAGGGTTCTGAATTTACATATCTGATAGCCAATGTTTTTTTTTTTAAAGAGACACTTCAAATAGGCTGTCTCACTTAAATGACCACCCCAAGTACACAGCTCATTTACCAAATGGAGAGTTATACTTTTGATATACTGGAGAAGGCATTCCACTTGCTGTTAAAAGACAAGTAGTGGCAATTTTCATTGTGCAAATACCATAGTAAGAAGTTGATTCTGAAAACAAAAGGGACATTCAAAGAGCTGCTATCAGTTACTGGAACACTACAAAATGCTGGAGATGCAAAGCTCTGACTAGAGTTATTGCCACACAACATGAAGTACACCCAATGATCAAAAACCTCTATTTTGGTGGTAATTTTGAACCCTAAAGAGGCTGTTACCAAACCTTTCAGTTATAAAAATAAGCTGTAAATATGCAAATACATGTCTTAGAATTCGGTGAAATTACTACTCAACAGTGGAAAGATTTTAAGATTTTCATTTTATTAAAAATATAGCAACACAATAGCAGCAGCATCTGATAAATGTTTACTAGTATATGGAAGTAGTCCTACTCACAGAATATACACCACCTATGCAGCACCTTTTTGTTTACATTTTGAACCCTTCCCTTGATAATCCATAGCATTATGTAAAGAATAGCACTACTGTATTAACCTAATTAAGATGAAGGAGAGTAATATTTAACTATTAAATTTAACTACCTATACAACTACACAGTACACCCAAATGTAACCTTCTGTGGAAATCAGAGAATTCTGTAGCGTGTTTCCTAACAGTTTTTTGCCTACCACTAACCTTAAACTGGTGGAACTCAATCTCTTCAACTCTAATTCAGCATGAATTTCATGAGTTTGAACTTACATATACAGTTAAGAAATTATCTATCTAGCAAACAAAAGTTAATCAAGAATGGAGAGAACTATTATTCTACTCCAATCCTTGGAAAATAAATCTTAATGGTAAAATTTGTGAAGTTTTACAAAAGTTGGCAATTCTCAAAATTAAAATGTTAGCTAGATACAAAGTAAATTTAAAATCAGGCAATAGGCTAAAAATCTGCTTTTAAGAACAGTATGTTAAGAAATGTATTATATATAAACAATTATAATAAATTAATTGCTAGAAACTATAAAAGTACCTTAAATGGAATAGAAAGAAATCTAGTTATTAGTTACTAAATCCAACCTACCTTCAGCTTTAGCTTTTATTTTTAAAATAATGTACCACTCTTTGGCAGAATCACCAATAAAAGTGTATTTAAGAAAAACAAATTCACCCACAAACCCAAGTTTAAGTAGGGAAGTGAATTTTATTTTAAAAGATTATTTTATTACATTTATACTCGACTCCTGCTTCCAGAAATATCATTTAGCCCTTTGAGAGCACTAACTTCTGAGATTTGAAAATAAACAATTTAATTTTAAATGACTATTACATTAGTAAATAAACATGAGAACATCTAAGTATATAGGCAGTGAATTTTTTAAAAAAAATATTTAAAACACATAAGGAACATAATTACTTTGTGGAAACAGTTCTACTTCATAACTTACCCAGTTAAAACCAGATACTATCTTCCAATGAAAATATAAGAAATGTCCCACTGAAATGTTACTTAATGCATCCCTCAAAAAGAATTCATTTTAACTGCTAATTCAACTACTAAAGATTTAAACCAAATCATACTATTCCAAATAGGTTTTTAAAAAACTTTTAAAAGCCATTAGTATATATTATAATCCTTAAATTTGAATATCTTCAGTTGAGACCAGATTTGGCTCAAGGTTTTTTTTTTTTTTTAATTTCAAAGGTAGCAACCTATATATAGGAATGAATGAGCATCCTGAAGATGACTAATACCACAAAAGAAATTATTTTATTGACACAAAAAAAAATTGATTCTAAATGCCGGTTTTTACTTTTAACTGAGGCATGTCAAAATTTAAGTCTCTATGATACTTCTAAAGATCAACACAGCATATACTGAATCCCTTGGAAAAAAAGATTCTAAACAGAAAAATCACAAGCTGACTAGTGTGTTCGTAACTATAAGTTAATTAAATTCAATGGAAAATAATGAGATAGCTGTGGAAGTTGAGGGTTTTATACTTGTTTCCTCACATGAAACTGGCTAGCTTATGAAGGACCATCTTTTATTACCAGTTAAGTGCACAATGCTGAAAAGCAAGAACAAGAGGACCAAGAGAATTTGTCTAGAATGATGAATAGCAACTGCAATTTAAGGAACAGAATGTACTCGCTATATAATCAAGATGAAAAAGATAATTTACAGAAGGTATTAAGTGTAAAATGGCTGTCTTCTTGGCCTTACCTCAAGTTTTCCTGACAATATCTACCTGGGATGAAAGAGACAGTTTTAAAGAAATAAAAAAATACCTTACAAGAAAAAAATAAAAGAAAACATATCAGCTCTTAAAAGTGAACAAAGAGAAAAAGATGTCTCTGTCTTACACACAACACACACACACACACACTCACACACTCCCTCCTTCCCTCCAGTACCTCTAGACCCTAGAAAGCTTTGCTTCCATAAGCCTGTTTAAGAAAATGATTTCACTTTCTCCGGACCTCTTGTATTCCTATTCATGCCCAATTTTTATAAATCAGTGTCTGTTAAGATTAGTATGACTGTTTTAAAGATGAATAAACCTCATCCAGAAAAATAACTGGCAGCAGGAACCAAATAACTATGTTAATTACCAACATAAAAAACATTTAATAGAGTCCAGAGTACAAGAAAATACTCAAACTTTAAATGATGGCTTTACACACCACACAAACATGCATTCTCCATGTCAAAACAATTTCTATGCCAGCTAAAACAAGAACAGGACAAACCTAAGATGCTGTTTTGAAATGCATGAACAAATACTTTCCTCTAAAATACGTAGCTTTATTAGAGAAACAGTACTAAAAATAACAAAGATTCAAACAACATTTGCTCTATTCTACTTACATATCATAAATAAGAAGCTTTGATGCAAGACACACACACTCCTTCACAATCTTTCCATATACACCCAAGCATTCTTATATCAAAATAAGCTGTTTACCAGCCAACCGTATGTGGTTGAATGATTAAAATGACCATCTATACTTTACATAGTAAAGCATTTTCAAAAATTTTAATGTACACAGTGAAAAAAGGAAAAAAAGACACAGTAATTCTGAACACATGAGGAGTAATTAAGCAGCTTCATAATCAAACCAGGCTTCATTACTTGCAATAAGGGCAATTCTTTCCATTCTTCACCAAATACTTAAATTTCAATAGTATTAACATTAAAAGAAAACTCAAGTTGAAACCAAGTAGCTGATGTGCCACTCAGCTTTTTAAATCTATAAGTAACTCTTCCCATGAGGTAAGGCAACTGAGTAATTTGATTGTATTAGACTGCATTAAACTAATTATACTTGATTTTTTAAATAACATGTTAATTAAAAGGTATAACTTTTGGAAATACAACAATGAAAAGAGTTCTGAAACTATGAGTTGTGTTCTGGGGGAAAATATTAGCAATGTTGTCATTTTACTACTTGCATACTTTCTGCAAAAAGTGTGCCTAACAATGTCGGATGACCTATATTTTAAGCTTAAGTAAACACATCCTTACACATAAGACAAACTCATATGTTCTCCTTTAAGTACAATTTCTGCACATCATTTATGAGAAGATGATTAAGAGGTAATAATTAAGGCCATCCAATGTAGACAACTAAAGCGTTCTGCTTTAAGTAAAATAAGAACATGCTGCTTCATTTTCAATTATCACAGTATGAAACTGATGGTCCCAAAACTGCATTGCTGTTTTAAGCTCTAAAGTCATTCTTGAAAACAGACTTCCCTCTCATATTAAGTGAACCAAGTAAGAAGCTCTTCTGACATACCACTTTCACACTTCTCTATGGGAGGGAATGGAATATCCACCTAAATTCCATATGAATTGAGAATGACTAGTCCATATAAAATTCTAGAAAACAGTATACCACATTGTAGAAGGCACTAAAGCTTCAGCTTGTGCTCCCATAGCCCATTTTGAAAACCCAGTTTTCTTATTATAAATGGCACCTTTGCCACCTACAACTGACAACACACACTGTGATACTGTTCATAATAAGCTTGGAAATGTCAAAAGAGTTCAAAAAGAAATGGTTATTTTGTGGGAAGACCCAATGATTCTGAACACTGAATACTAATATATTATTAGTATTCAACACAGTTGTTCTTCCTTTTGAAAAAGAACAGTAGCATGCATTGTCAGCTGGTTTTTAATCCACTCATGTAAGCAACTTTAATCTGTAAAACTATTTTAAAGAAAAACTGCTGTCCTAAACAGTGAGCAAAAGAAAACACAATAGTGAGAATTTAACACAATCACTGTAAATCCTGTGAAGTCAATGTTAAAACTTCTTACATACTCCGCACTTACAAGGGTGTGTATATATTTGCACCAATTTCAAGCACATCATCAATCTGTAATATATTGAAATTAAAAAAAGTAAAACAATACAAAATCAGTTACTAGCATTTTTTAAAAGAGCCTCCAATGCTTATCTCCAGTCTTTAATGGATAATACAAATTTAGATCTTTAATGTCCCATTTATTTTAATGGTTCTTCGCAAACACTTAACAAACCACATGACAAGTGTGTCAGCCACCATGGAAATGCACAGCTTTTAGAAGATGAGGAGTTTGGGTAACACCTGTTATTTTCACGATGTCCATGCTTTATTTTCTTACTCAGTAACAAGATGGCCACAAAGTCACCTAACAACTAAAAAAGCTGTTAGCTCGTATCTTTATGCTCTACTGGATTTCTTCACTGTTTAACATCTTGCGAGAGAATTCAAAGCTTTGGATTCTATTCCAGCGTGTGTTTAGAGGTGCATTTGTAGGTCCTATACTGCTTCTGTTTTGGTAGAGAGGTTTTCTTCATTTGGTTGACAATTCCCATTTTGCTGTACTTTGTTTTCCTCAGTCCTTTGTGCATCCTTGTCATCTACTTCTTTTCCCACACTTGAATCTGGTTCTTTATTGTGCTCCTTCTCCTACAATGAATATTTAGGTATACATTTAATATTTTTCTCAAGACTTGTCTGCTACTACATCTAGTTCTGGCTAAAACTATCTTTTGTGAATTAGTCAAACTGGGTATTATCTCTCATTACATCTTCATATAAATAGTATATACAAACGTATCAATATGTCCTTTGTACTTCTAATAAAAGATAGGACAATCTATGGAGATTAAGTTAGAACAAAATAGGTAAATAGAAGCTCTAGGAAAGAATTCAACAAACGTTGCTGACTGACTTGAAAGGTGGAACTGATCGGCTGAAAGTAAAACAGTTCCCATAGATGCCAGGACAGATTTGTAATCTGGATACCAAAGAAGCAAAAACAAGGGAATGTAGAAAAGGAAATCACTATTCCTCCTACCAAATACTGTTTAAGAACAGTCCAAATTCAGCTCTCAACTTAACGGAGAATTAAATGAGAACATGTGAAACAGTGCCTGGAATGTATTAAGTGCTCAGGAGATATTATCAATGTTACTTACAATGATGATAAACCTCTATCAGTATGGGAATAAATAAGACTGTAAGATAAAAGCTTCAGAACTCATAACTGATTTCCAAACACAAATATACTTACCAGTATAATAAGGGAATTAACCTAATTCACAAGTACTTAAAATATTTTATCAAAAAAAATAAATGGAGGAAAACAAAACAAAAACCCTTACCTGGTGGAATTTGGTTTTCCATTAATTATTCTAATTCAACAAACCTAACTTTGGTATATATTACAAAACCAGTGATAACATCACCTGTCAAATTTGCTAAAACAAATATAGTGAGGAAAATAGCAACAAGTAAAAATATTCCAGTACATAGTTAAAATTTTTATTGTATGCCATTCTGTGATTCTCTAAAATAAGGAATGCAATTCTTTACACTAGTAAACATTACATTAATTAGTTATCTTCAAAAATTAGGTTAAAAAACTACCAATTTAACAAATAGCACCAAAAACATACAAGGCACTGGTAGTATAAAATTACCTCTATGCAATAAAGAACAATCTCAAACATTAATTATTCAAACCCTAAACACTGAACGACTTTCTTACTTTAAGTGAAGTATTGTTCTTCTCCACCTTTTCCTTCCCATCTCTGTCATTACAACTCTTTCTTGTAGAGGCTGAACGTTCTCTCTCTCTTCTTTCACTGATGTGGTCCCTTTCTTTTTCTCTCTTTTTATCCTTCTTATTTCTGCTGTAAGAATATTAGTAATATGTCATTAACTTCTAAAACAGTAAACACCCACTATAATGTTGACAAAATATTCTTACCTAACATTAATGCACTGTAAACAAGCGTATCAGTAACCTGGTGGACCAAATAACATAAATGAGTCCTGTAGCCCACCTAACTCCACCCCACACCCAGTTAATTTTTTCGACACACAAGTCATTACCGCAGAGGCCACCAAGTGTTCACATAAAACACAATTCTGTATTATCAATTTCTTAGTTTTGAAACATTCAAGGTTTATCTATCTACTGTAATCAGGATAAAACAAAACAAAATATGTAATATTTTTTTACCCATCTTTTCAAAGTAAAAAATGAATAAGCAGAAAAGAATAAAAATGATAAAGAATCAGATATGGCTCTCAGGTAAGGCTGAATGACTTCTAGGAAAACATGGAACTTCAAATAACCAATTATGCCATGTGCCCTCCCCTCTCATTCACAATTACAAAAAAGGCCCATCCACCAATTCAAGAGCAAACATTAAGCAGAAGATGGAATGAACAAGTTCCATTTGTAAAAATTACATATCCTTAAAATTAGAGGGAAAAAAACGATGCATTTCCTATCAGAAGCATAACAGACACCTTCTATTCAAAATAATTAGCCTTAATATGGAATTCTAAACCTTTTTGTCTTAATTATGAATATTTTAAAAATAAACACAAAGACCAGGGGAACAAATAAAAACACTTAGGAAACAGACCCAAGTACCTATGAAAATTCAATAAAACAAAGGGGTGGCATCTCAAATCACTGGGGCAAAGTTTGTCTTTTATAAATAAAAGACTTGGGGACAACTGGATTATTATTTGGAAACAGACAAAACTGGGTCCATATCTCATTCACATAAATAAATAAATCAATCCAAATGGATTAGAGACCTAAATTTTTTACATGAAACAATACAAGTACTAGAAGAAAACATGAATAAATTTCTTTCTAACTTGAGTGAAGGGGAAGATTTTTTTAGCCATAAATAAAATTCCAGGTACAATAAAATAAAGATTCATTAGTATGCCTACATAAACTTTTGCAAAGCAAAAAAACAAAACAAAAACCACTACTAGCATATTCAAAAGAAAAATACATTTGCTACATTATTTATGTACGTTTATCTTTATATACAACTCATAAAGCCAAGGAAACAACTACATCAAAAAGAATGAGATTCTTGGGACCTTCCTGGTGGTGCACTGGTTAAGAATCCACCCGCCAACACAGGGGACACAGGTTTGAGCCCTGGTCTGAAAAGATCCCACATGCCACGGAGCAACTAAGCCCGTGCACCACAGCTACCGAGCCTGAGCTCTAGAACCCGTGCTCCACAACAGGAGAAGCTGCCACAATGAAAAGCTCGCACACCACAACAAAGAGTACCCCCCGCTCGCCACAACTAGAGAAAGCCCACGTGCAGCAACAAAGACCCAAAGCAGCCAAAAATAAATAAATAAATTTATTTAAAAAAAAAAAAAAAGAATGAGATTCTTAGGCATAAATTTAACCAAAAAGGCAAAAAATTTGCTGAAAAGAAATAAAGACATAAATAAATGGAAAAACATCCCATGTTCTTGGATCAGGAGACTTAGAGTTAAGATAACAATAGTATCCAAAGTGATCTACAAATTCAATGCAATCCCTATCTAAATCCCACTCGCACTGCTGGCAGAAAAAGTAAAACCCATCCTAAAAACCACAGGATCTCCAGGGACATCAAATAGCCAAAACAATCTTTAACAACGAAATTGGAAGACACACAATCCCTGGTTTTAAAACTTACTACAAAACTACAGTAATCAAAACAGTGTAGTACTGGCATTAAGGAGAGACTTACAGACCAATGGAAAAGACAGAAATATATGGTCACATGTATGGTCAAATGATTTTTGATAAGGGTGCCAAGACCCATTCAATAGGGAAAGGACAAGCTTTTCAACAAATGTTGCTAGGAAAACTGGACATCCGCATGCAAAAGAATGAAGTTTTAGACTCTTACCTTACACCATATGTAAAAATTATCTCATAATGGATCAAAGACCTAAATATATAAACTAAAACTGTAAAACCCTTAGAAGAAAACACAGGGGAAAATCTTCATGACACTGGTTTTGGCAATGATTTCTTGGATATGACAGCAAAAAGCAATGAAAGGAAAAAAACAGATAAATTCGAATTCATCAAAATTAAAAAACTTTTGTGCATCAAAGGATACTTACTCAAAGAAAGTGAAAACACAACCCACAGTATAGGAAAAAAATACATGGAAATCATATTATCTGGTAAGGGATTAACAACCAGAATATAAAGAACTAAAACTTAACAAAAAACTAAATTATCTAATTCAAAATGGGCAAAAGACTAGAATAGACATTTCTCCGAAGTAGATACACAAATGGTCAATAACCACATGAAAAGATGCCCAATATCACTAATCATTAGAGAAATGCAAATCAAAACCTTAACAAGATACCATTACACACAGACAATAACAAGTGTCAGTGAGCATGTGGAGAAACTGGAACACTTGTACATTGCCGATGGGAATACAGAATAATGCAACCACTTCAGAAAACAATTTCGCAGTTTCTCAAGAAGATAAAGAGAGGATTACTATATGACTCAGCAATTACAACTCCTAGGTATAAAAACAAAAACATGTCCACATCAAAACTTGTACACAAATGTTCACAGCAGCATTATTTATAACAGCAAAAAAATGGAAACAATACTAAATGTCCATCAACTAATGAATGGTTAAACAACAAAACCTGGTTTTATCCATAGTGGAATATTATTCACCCCTAAAAAGGAATGAAGTACTGATTAATGCTACAATATGCATGAACCTTGAAAATGTTACATTTAGTCAAAGAAGTCAGATATAAAAGACCGCACAGGGACTTCCCTGGTGGCGCAGTGGATAAGACTCCATGCTCCCAATGCAGGGGGCCCGGGTTTGATCCCTGGTCAGGGAACTAGATCCCACATGCATGCTGCAACTACGATTTCGCATGCCACAACTAAGGAGCTGGTGAGCTGCAACTAAGGAACCCTGGAGCCGCAATTAAGGAGCCCACCTCCCGCAACTAAGACCTAGTGAAACCAAATAAATAAATAAATATTAGGGAAAAAAAAACAGGCCACACGTTATATAACTCTATATGAAATGTCCATAACAAGCAAATCCACAGAGACAGTAAGTAGATTTGTAGCTGTAAGGAGCCATGGGGAGTAACTGCTAATGGGTACAGGCTTTCTTTCAAAGTGACAAAAAATGTTCTGGAACTAAGCAGCGATGGTTGCACAGAACTGTGAACTCTTGGGCTTCCCTGGTCGCGCAGTGGTTGAGAGTCCGCCTGCCGATGCAGGGGACACAAGTTCGTGCCCTGGTTCGGGAGGATCCCACGTGCCGCGGAGCGGCTGGGCCTGTGAGCCATGGCCACTGAGCCTGCGCGTCCGGAGCCTGTGCTCTGCAACGGGAGAGGCCCGCGTACCGCAAAAACAAACAAACAAACAAAATAACCCTGTGAACTCTTAAGAAAAATGCAATGAAAATTACTAAAAATCACTGAAATGCACTGAGGGTGAATTTTATTTTACATAAACTACTCCTCAATTTAAAAAATAACTCAGAGGGCGCCTGCCAGCCACTGGTGGGGGACTCTGATGCCTAAGGAGACGGGGGGAACCCCAAAGTGAACCGGTAGGATGTAGGGGGACTGAGGGGGGAGGAGAAGAGGAGGGCAGACAGGATCGGCATCCCTGAGGCGGGGGAGATGAGGAGAGGCAGGGGGGAGGGACCCTCCAGAAAGAGCAGAAGAGGATGGAGGGTGATCGCCTGGCCCACTTGGGCCACGGAGCCTGCGGAGCTCCCAGGCTGGTGCCTCCCCTCCAAAGCCCCCTCCAAGCAGTTTGGGTCCTGGGGGCATAGGAGGGAGGCCGGGAGATCAGGAGAGGCAGCGAGGTGGAGCCCTCCGGAAGCAGCGGATGACTGCCACGCCCACTCAGGCCCGGGGAGCCTACTGAGCTCCCAGGCCAATCCTGTCCTCCAAAACCTCCTCCAGGACGCATGGGTCCTTGGGGGCATAGGAGGGAGGCTGGGGACATCAGGAGAGGCAGGCGGGAGGGGCCCTCCCAGACTGGAGGAGCGGGAAAGGAGAGGAGGGTGTTTGCCCTGCCCACTCGAGCCCAGGAAGCCTGCTGGGCTCCCAGGTGAGGTTCCCTGCCCTCTGAGACCAGGGGTGGGGGGCACTCCTGGGCCCCTTCTGTTCCTTGGGCCTAAAAGCCAGCTCCCCACAGCCCCCAGGGCCTCTTCCAGCCCTGGGGGTCCTGAGCATTGGCCCCACCCACCACCCAAACCTCGCCTTTGCTTAGGCCCCACCCTCCACAGCCAAGACCTCTCTCCCCCGCCTTTTTTTCTTTTTCTTTTCCCTCCTCCCCCTCTTTTACTATTGTGGTACTGATGTACCTTCCAGTTGTTGATTCATCTGTATTTTTATTTTTATATTCTTCCAAACATATCTGTTAGTTTCCTAGTCTAATTTTATTTTTTACTTTGTTATATTTATTCTTATTTTTTGGGCACCGCAGGCAGCGTGCAGGATCTTGGTCCACGAGCCCGGGGTCAGGCCAAAGCTCCTGTGGTGGGAGCTCCGAGTCCGAACCACTGCACTAACAGAATCTCAGACTCCAGGGAATATTCATCAGAGTGAGGTCTCATGGGGTTCCTCATCTCAGCACCAAGACCCAGCTCTACCCAATAGCCTACGAACTCGAGTGTTGGAAGCCTCAGGCCAAACAACCAGTATGACAGGAATACAATCACACTCATAAAAAAAAATGAGACGGCAAAAAAATATGTCACAGATGAAGGAGCAAGGTAAAAACCTACAAGACAAAATAAATGAAGAGGAAATAGGCAATATACCTGAAAAAGAATTCAGAGTAATGACAGTAAAGATG